ATAACTATATTAGATTCTGATGCTAATTATAATATTATAAGTAAGAGCTTAGTAGATGAGTTAGGTTTGAAAAATGATGATGCTCATATAGAATCTGAAAAATCACCATATATATTAATTACAGGAGATGAGTTATTAATAATAAGGATGCTCCATGAAATAAATCCCTCTTTTCAATCCAAAGATAATAAATCAAAGCAAGTAGAAGTTACTAATGTTTTTGTTATCAATAAATCCAAACTTGAATCTGTATTAATATTGGATCAGCCATGATTTCAGAAAAATGTAATAGATATGAACTTTCCAAATAAAACTCTTATATTACTTGATAGAACTAGTTACAAAATTATGTGTAATTGAGAATATCTGAAAAATATATAGTGTATGTGCCTAAAATTAATTATCTGAACATTAGCTATTATTTTTGATTAAAGATATATAATATATTGCAAAACAATGACCCAAAGGGTCTAAATATTTTTGATTTATCTGAATTACTAGAATAGATCTTATATTTTTTAGAAATTAATAGATCTCTCTATTCTGCTTTATTTATTAATCAGTTTTGATATCACTATAGTACTCCTATTCTATGACATCATGTTGAGTTTTTCAATGAAGATTATCAGAGAGATCTATATGGTTAAAAAAAATCTCAGACTATTTATTAGTGATTATTGAAATTTAAAAAAGTTATATGTGAAAAGACAAAATCTCTTTATTATTCAAAAATGGTATATCTCAGATTGGAAGATTTAAAAATCAAAGATATATTAATTAGTATAATTTTATACTCATGTTCAGATATACGCATTCTTATTCTTGACTGAAATAATAGTTTTACTAATATATCAATTATAGAAATTACAAGATATTATCCAAAACTACAGCATCTGAGTCTTAATTTATGTATATATCTCACTAATCAATATATCACTGAAATTACTTGCTCACATCCAAAACTTAGACATCTTAAGCTTGATGATTGCTTGATTAATAATAAAGCTGTTGAGGAAATAGCCCACAACTATACTAATTTGGAATATCTTAGTTTAAAGAAATGTAAAGAGATTAGAGAAAAAGTGATGAAAAAACTCAATCCAAAAATTAAAATTAAATATCCAGATTATTCTGATGATAAATAATCTGATTTACCTTCACTTATTTCAGATAAAACAGATTTTATTTCTGCATTTAGGAATTATATTCAAGTATCATCAGATTTAACTAAATCAGAATAAATTAATATATTAAATAATCTTATTTAAGCTATTGATCAAAGATTACATTAATTGTGACAGATTTTTAGGATGAATAATTAATTATTTAAACTTTAGTTATTTTTTTAACTAAAGATATAGTATATAATTATTTTATCATGAAAATAGTCAAAGCTAAAGTAGGATCGCAGAAAATTAATTGTTATCTCAAACCAGGATTTCTCAAACTATCAATATATACTGATAAGCTTCTCAAGAAAATAGGTGATAAAATTAGCAAAAAACTAATTTCTGAAAAAAAAGATAGCAAATTTATCAGAGAAGAAGTCACAGCTCTACTTGAATTGGCCATAATTCCACTTACATTTACATCTAATATAAAAGATAATATCTATCTTAATAATAAAAAATCTATCACGATTCTAACCAAAGTACTAGTTAATAGATATAACTCTACATTACCTAATTATATATTGCTTGATAATAATTAGTTCTATGGATGTAAATATGATAATAATGAGTTCCAGATTTATATATCAGAAATAGTAACCAATGCAGAAGATACCTGGATAAGAATAACTTTACATATTAAAAACCTAACTGAGAAGAAAGAGAAGAGAGTAATAGTATTTGTTAATAAAAGAGATATTCATAATTTTTACAAAATACTTCCTAAAAAATCAAAAGATTCAGACACTTCTAATTCAGATACTTCTTCCAATTCAAGTAATTCTTTCATATTTAGTTTGGAAATAAAAGTTATACATGCATATAAGACTAAAGCAGTAAAGAAATAACCTATTCTCAAGCATAAAGTAAAAGATAAAGTTAATTATCAAGCTACGTAAATTATATCATATCTTGAAATAAGACCAATTAGATCTGGAGTATGATTGTTAAACTGGAAAATTTATCAATTAATCATATTACAAGTAAGATTGATATAGAAGTTAATGGAATATGTGATTATTATTAAATTTTTTTGTTTATATAGGCTAGAAAATATATTTATACTATATACTTTTGTGATAAGAACCAGTGATAATGAATCTTGAAAAGGTAATAAGGGCAAAGAGCTTATTATTTCCTATTAGCGTCATTATTAGAAAATACTAATTATAGAACTTTGGAATCTCTATAATTCCAGATTATCATTGTAATTAACCAATTTTCATTTTACAAGAGTGATCTTGAGCCAAAAGGGATTTTATTTATGTATCTATGATTCATTGCTTCTTATATTTATATATCTTGACATTTAGTTATATATAACAACACTTTCTATAGAGACTAAATTATAACAGGTTTACTTATAATTCCAGTAATAGTCAATTTTATCATTACTAGAGTTTGGAGATTCTCTTGATAAAGTTTAATCTATTTTTCTAGCAAGTTATAGATCAAGCGAATAAAAATATTATAAATAAGTAGATTTTAGAAAGACTTTATTTCTTACCTTTCCATGAATTTTTTAAGATATGTATCATATTATTCTCAACAAGAGTCTTTATCTGAAAAATAAAATCCTACTCATTATAGATCTTTATTTTTAGAAAACAAAAAATACCTTTCAATAGTAAAGAAGATAATGATATGCTTAGTCTTAATTTAAGATATTATAACTTTCATAATAGAAATGTAACTTTTACGATTAAATTCTTCAAGAATGAAACTGTCTATATTAAAAGAAATGATTAAAAGTAGAATATCACTTTACTTTCCTATTAATCCTTATCCTTATAACTTTTATCTTCAATAAATTTATCCCAAAAATCAAGTAAAACCTATAGAAATAGAGGATAGGATCTTTAGCTATTTTAATAAGAATTCCTCTGAAAATTTTATTCATATCATGGTTTAACCCTTATTAAATAGTTAGATTTTTTCTATTTATATTCACATTATATAAATGCGATATATATTTTGCAAATTTATTTTTTATATCTGTCTTATATATCAAGATACTAGCTCCACTATTACAGGCAAGTTTTTCATTTTATAATAATAAAATAATAATATGATATTAGGTGTAATTTCAGATTCTCATATATATTATCTCCAGATCAGTTCATGTAATATCTATCACATGTATATAAAGTTACTGATCACCAAAAACAGATATAATAAAAAATTTTCATTTTCACTTTATACATAAATCAGATTTTTCTAATCATATTTATATAAAAATAGCATCATGTCTTTACATGCTTCTTCATCTTTCTCATCAGTTTCTACATTCTTTACTTTAACAGAAGAAAGATCAACTCATATGATGGCAGATATTATTAAAAATTACAAGATGGAAGAACTTATTGATTATTTACAAAAACATAAAAATCTAGATCTTATTGAGACAGATTTCAAGATATTTTGCAATGAAAGAATTTTTAAATGTATCTTTCTCAAGACTACCAAAGAAAAATTTTATAGCTATAGTTTGAAGGGTGAAACTGTAACTGTTCTTATAAATTTTATCAAGGAGATTACTGAATAAAAATTATGAAGTTTTGATAATTTATTACGTATACATAGATTATATGTTAATATTTTTTCTATTATATAGTTTTTAAGGAAATTGATAATAGTGATAAAGCTCTCGAACAATGCATGAATAAAATAATGCTAAGACTTTCAAATCTGAAAATGATGCAAACTAATGCTAATGAAATAACATGTTGTATATTTATTACATCAATATTAAATACATCACTAACAATTATCTGGAGGCTTACTAATAAGAAAGAAATTTACATATCATATCAAAAAAATATTTCTGATGAGAAGATATTTGATTATGTTGATTATGCTATCAAAAGAAATAAAGATCTTATATGTATAGCTGAAGATAAGTCTTGTAATATCAAAATTAGTTATCTTCAAAATATTATACAACTTGAGAGTGCGTATCATATAAATAAAGAAGAAACATACAGCAAATGAAGCTTTTCAGGATGATTATAACTATCTATATAGGATCATATCAATAGGTATATACATATTTTTTTTTAGATAATCTGTTACCAAAATTTTAATCATATATTTTTTACCAATCATCACTTAATATTTTTAGTTATGAAATGGTATTTTATCATTTTTGCTACTAATGACATTTATTCTACCAGTAAAAGTGAATATTGAATTAATCTTTCTAAAATGGCTTTAAAAGAGGATCTTGAATTGATTTGAAAAGATATTAAGTAGGTATTGGATGTTATTATGAATTTATTAAAAGATTGAATTAGTGTTAATAATTCTCCAGCCAGTAAGAAGGCTAGGATCAAAAAATTTGCTAAAAAATAATTGGTAGATAATTTTCAGCTTCACATGTACATGATAATGGTCATGCTATTTTTATTTGTACTAATAAAACAGACTGAAAAGATCATTTTTCTATACTAAGAATAGTAAGGGTATTTTTATTTTGGATCATCATTCCAAGATGTGTAATTCTATTTTGGTTTATATATCAATTATGTTTTAGATCGATATGTGAAAAATATATAGAAAAAATAAGAAAGCAAGAGATCTCTCATAAGAGTATTCATCATATATTATGGATAAAATCCATATCATTACTCTCGCTAAGAATATTTTAAATGAGATCCTCAGAATTCTTGTTACTGATATTCAGATTCTAAAACTTTTACCATGCTTACTATGTAATAAGGATGAGATTTTTTCAAACTCACATGCCATACTTAGAGTATTTACTATGATCAGTTGTGACCATCTCTTTCATCAGATTTGTCTCAAAAAATATCTTTTACAATCAGAATCAAGATGTCTAGTTTTTAGATATAATAAAGATATTGAAATTATTCTTTCATCAGCTGAAATAGAACTATGAGAAGATCTAATAGAAATATCATCACAAATTTCAACATCATCTTTACAGAAGAACTATAGTAATAATAATCAAGATCCTCTATTATTTGAGAGTGATGCTAATATTGGATCTTTTCAGACTTCACAAAGTAAAGATACCACTCGTGAAGTAGATATAATCACTTCATCACTCAAATATACTAGTAAATTCATCCCTATTGATAAATCACTTAATAAAAAAATCAAAAAGAGAGATAAGAAAAAGGCAGATGAAAAGAAAGAATCTAATATTCTGAATAAACTTATTGATAAGTTAATTGTGGATCCTCCTGAAGATTTGGAAACTTCTAGCTTAGCAATGTATACTCTCACATCAAATATGAATATGACAAAACTTGAGACATTTATTTCTCTATATCAAAATATTACTAATGCTAAATCTAATAATGATAAAATAAGTTATGAAGTATTGTGATCTTATTATACTTTTAAAATATGATTAACAAAGCATTATAAATTCTATAGAAAATCTAATCCAGATCATACAGTACAGATTCAAGTTAATGATGATATTAAAGAAAAGTTGGATAATAAAGTTTCTGAGATCACACTTTGAAAGAGAATGGAAAGAGCTAGAAAAATATTCGCTATTTTCACTAAAGCTAGAGAAGATAAAATACAACAAGTCAAATCTGTCATGGCTAATACTTTATCAAAATTACCTTGGCCAAATGTTGATTATATCATTATTAATATTTCAAAAAAGAAATAAAGTGCTTCTTGATATACTGCGCCACATATTACGTGACATCCTGACCGGATGGTCAGGCACTTTACTTTTTTTTTAAGTATACTTTTAGCAATGTCATATAAACGTGCTATACTTTAATAAAAATTTATCCGAATTGTGTCCAGGATCTTTTCTAATAATATTTCTGAATATAGGATTAGATCAAATCCTACATATCTTAATTATTTGGAGAAATCTTTGGTCAAGAAAAACTTTTCTTATGAAATGTATTATCCTGTAGCAATACGCATTCGTGAACTTGGAGAGGGATTAAGCAACAGTTGTAGAACAGTTGATGAAATAAGGAAAGGAACTGCCATTTAAAAGGATCTCAGGCATGATCTTCACGATTCTATCTCTTTTAGCCAGAAATGCACCTGAACATGTGACAGACGCGACCTCATGTGATCATATTAGGGTGAATTGCACGTAAATCATTTTTATAAAAATGTCCGACTTTAACATGGGTTCTGAATATTATTCACTGACCTTTTAGCCTTTTTCTCTTACTTTATAGCTCTTCTCTCTTATCTCAATGAGCGCGAACATGTAAACTGGTCGTACTACGAGTTTTTGACTCTTAACTGTGATGTCATTATATCTTTGTCATCGAATACAGAAGATTGGAATGGCCTAGATGGTGCATGGACATACAGATTTCTAAAAGAAGCAGAAGCGATGCTTAAGCCAAAAGACTTTGAAACTTTAAAGGTCAAGGTATTACTTTTTTTATTTAACCAAGGGAGCTCCTGTCAGTTCACGCGCTGACTCAGGAGTATCAGTTCACGTGCTGGCCCAAGTGATGGTGGTGGCACCTTTTGGTCAGTTCACGCGCTGACTCAAGAGTATTAGTTCACGCGCTAAGCCTTACCATTGCGAATCTGCATTTTTTTTTAATATTTTACTATCAACCGGCATCAGTTGTTTTATGATTAACTTTTTATTATTACCAATTTTATATTTCATTAAATAATAGGTGGATTCCGAACATTCAAAACATGGATTAAAGACCTATTGGGAAAACGTTATCCATGAACAGAAAAAAGTATGTCAGGCCTTGTTTTTGCTCTTATTAATCTTACTAAGATACTATCAATATGTAATTAGTTGACAGTGAAACGCACCCACATTCTTGGGAGTCTTGACCTCCTAGATGAAGCCGGTAAACATAATGTCAAAGATCTCTCTGAAGGGCTTTCAAATTCTTTCCCTGTTGCATCCAAGCATGCACTTGAGAGTACGAACTTAATTTCTCCTCAAGAGAATAAGAAGGTTAGTATAGAATGTAGCCTGTATATAATACAAAAACATTATCTTACTTTTCCGACTTTGAATGTGTGTATAGATTAAAAATGGTGAAAATGAAGTGTCAGTTGAAGAAGGTATCTCTCAAGAGGACGTGTTGAACTCAGTTACTGAAACCTCCAATATCTTTAGAGAAGTTGAATTCCCGGGGTATTACGATAAGCTCAAAAAAATATGGTGTACCCGTGAAGCAGGATCAAATTATTATGTAATTGATCTGAAAAATAAAGAAGTTTTAAAAGAGGTACATAATCTTTTAGATGATGAAGAATTAAAATCGTTATTTGATAGATTGGCTTTGGAAGACGAGAACAAATATATAAGTACGAAGGCACTCGAATATATGACATTATTTGATAAAATCACAGAAGATCATTTAAGGGATGATGATGATGATGATGATGATGACGTAGTTGAGAAAAAATTTATCGAAACCAAAGACGAAGCCATTTCCAAGATGGAAAAAGTGGTCTATAGTTTGGACGAATTGACAACAAGATTCAATTACCTATCCCACACTCTTCCTATTCCAGCAGAACAATATGACGGGTTTTTATACCCCGATATTCATATTATTAGAAGCATTTCGAGCCATCTAAGTACAATTATAAGGATGGATGGAATTGTCAAAAACACAACCGAAAGATCATGGACTGCGCATATATTAGCATATATGTTTTTTATAATGTTTAGTCACATTACCTCTATAAAATATTTTTCATGTGAACGTACAATTTCTACGAAAATGGATTCTCAAATCATAGATTATAAGGCGGATGGGGTTGTGGAATTATTTGAAAGGCCAAACCAAATTCCCTTATTCGTACTTGAAGTCTCTGGTGAACCTAGTAATCCAGATCCTGATAAATTTGAAGATGATAGACAAAAGTTAATGAAAGAAGGCGTATTTGCGCTAAATAAATTCATTATTAGAACTGGCCTTCCAACATATGAGGTTTGTAAAACTTTGGGAGTTTTTCTTGCTCAAGGATTTGGTAAGTCATTTCAAATGTTTTAAGTATGATGCATTATTTATTTTTTTAGCATTAACATATTATTTATTACAGAAGATAAGCTTGAAATCGGACAAATAATTTACATTGGACCTGGTCTATATTTATTTTCACCCTTTACGGATCCAAATCTTATCATCCCAACTTCTCCCTTTAATTTAGAACATGCATCCAGATTAATTCGCACACTCCTTTGTTTGCGATATAATGCCATTAAAAAGATCAAAAGTTTTCGGAAATTCGAAAAAAAGTGCCAACGATACATTATAAATCCAATATCGAAATATGCTACCGGATTTACACCAGACCGGCCTCAAACTGTGACGCTTTCCGAATTTCTGCCCAAGGAAGAGACGTCTGGCAAGGTGGATAGAAATAGAAAGGATAATGTGACCAGAGGAAGGGGAAGAGGTCGTGGAAGAGGGAAAGGTCGTGGTTCAGATTCACTATAGATTTACATATATATCACCTTTGAACGATCTACGCAACGTATCGAAAATAATTTTTTTATATAAACACAAATTATTGTATGTGTGATATTAAAAAATAAATGCATTATGACAACATACATTAGTGAAACTAGCTCCGCTAAAAATACACGTATTGCTTATATCGACTATTTAATGGTAAATTTTTGGATTCGGGCACATGATAAAATGTCAAGTTACATATCTTGCACGATGTTTGTAGTCTAGATTTATCAGACTTAGTCCGTGCATTTCATGCATAGTTCGTAGTTATATAACCACTTTGTGACTGTCTCCGGCAATATAAATTTATCATTCGTTGTATAGATTTTTTTTATCCTTAAAAAAGGTCAGGTATGATGATCATTGGTTAAATAAAGGGATTTTCGTGTAGACTCGAAGAGTCATTGTTCAGTAATAAATATATCAATCACTCATTGTGGGTGTATTTCGGGATTTTATTGTGTTGTATGGACATCGATGTAATCAAGAATTTTCTTGGTGAAAGTGCGTGAATTTTTTTCACGGAGTCGTGTGATTTTTTATTTTAAATATATCCGTATCTTATACAAAACAATGGCAAACACACAATCCAAAATCGATTCATTGAAGGAATTGAATTCCAAGCTTCAGGCGGAGAATACAGAACTTAGAAACGAGAATGCTAAAGTTAAGCGTGAGAATGCA